GAGGTATATAATAATTCCCCATTGATGACATATCCCCCACTGAAACAACTGAAAACACCTGAGCCTGCTAAGCTTATTAGAGGTCTCATAATTAGATAAGTGCAGAGTGCAGGAGTTGCAGAACATCTTGTCCAGGAAGAAGAGAGCTTAAGGAACCCCCAGAAGCCCCATAGCACGTCGGCCAAAGCTAGGCTTTTCCCACACTACCCAGGCTGTTCTCACAAAGCTTTGTCCCAACTATGGCCCACAGCGAGTCCTGCAGCAAGGTGGGAAACCTGAAGTCCACTGAGGAATGACAAGGGTCCCTGTGGGAGTCCAGGAGGGAGCTACCACTGTGCTCCTCAGGCCTGGGCCTACTTGGCTGCCTCCTGGCCACAACAGTCCAACGTGGCTGGCCACAGAACCCAGCCCCAGGAGCTAGCCTATGCACAATGTTGCACCCCAGCCCCATTGGAAGCCTCCTGTGGGTCTAAGAAATATCGAGTCATTGCTTCTCTGCCTAAAAAGCCCCGCTTTGCCTTGCCCACCTGATGACCCCCTAAAATGAGATAAGGCAGCTCCTCTTTCAAAACCCAGATAGGGTGAGCCTTTGGGGAGTCTTTCCTTCGCTGAGATTATAAACTCTAAGGCCCATACAAGCCTGGAATTGTCAGGGGTTATTTTACCAACCCCTTCCCCAGCCCCCATGTAGAGAACCTGTCTGAAGGTAAAGTCAGGAGAAGCCAGGTGGATGGAAAAATAAGGGAGAGAAATGGGATTCCCCCTTGAGGCTCCACTGCCCCTCACCTTGTACTAACTGCTGATTACGCGTCCATTCTCCCATCACACTGGGAGCTGCGCAAGGGTCAGGTCTGGGTCTGATAAGCATCTGGATTCCCAGGGCCTCCAGAGCAACACTTCGGAAGGTTTGCTGAGCAAGAGAAGGGGCAGACCTCTGCTCTGGCTGCTGCTCAGGCCCCCAGGCTTCCTCCCTACAGGGCTGGGTGACAGGTATGCTGCCCATGTGGCCCATAAAGCTTAGGGGCCTCCAAGCACTTCCATAGGCACTTGGACTCCTCACCAGGCCTGGGAGTTTGGCATCATCATTCCTATTTTGGTAATGATAAAACGGCTCAGGGAAGTGACATGGCCAAGGTCGTTAAGTCAGAGGGTGGCAGAGTTTGGTTCAATTCAGCCTCAACTTCCAGGACTGCATCCTGTCTCTATGCTACAGGTCCCCCAAGTTCCTTCTCTCTTCTCCCCACAACAAAATGGGGGAAGGCTGGGAGGAGAAGGGGGGAAATGACCTGTTTTCCTTCAGAGGGTGGCCAGGGACGGGCATCTTGTGCAGTAGATTAGGTGGCAGCAGGCTTTGGGGTTCCAGTCCCAGCTCTGCCAATGACAAGTTAACCTTGGCGAAGTCGCTTCACTTCTCTGGGCTTCGGTCCCCCCCAAACCATGGGGCAGGAAGGATGAACTCTGTGACCACCTAGAGGCTTGCCCCCTTGCAGCAGTCTTGGTATAGTTGCCTGGCAGACGGGAAGTGAGGGTTCAGCTGGGCACCCCCAGGCCCCTTCCAGCCCTCACCACTCAGCTGTCAGCACCTCCTCTGCC